TTCCTCCCCCCCCTGCTCTTCCTCCTCCACCTCCTCCTCTCCTCCACACATGAGCTTGTCGCTCAGGCCTCTCCACCCTTCTGGGGGTCAGCCTTGCCCCCAAGGAGCTACAGCAGCAGTGGAGATGCTCATTCATTGCCCTGGGTCCAGGAAACCCCACAGTTGGGATTCCTCCCCAAGTAAAGCTGCTGCGAACTTTGAGTGGCAGAGTTCTTTTGGGGCATCTGGAATTGGGAGCCCATCGGGGACCCGTGTCGGCGTCACCCACTTTAGAACCAGCCGCATCTGTGGGCTGGAGGCCAGCAGCAATGAGGTGGGCTGTGCCGTGAGTGTCACTGTCAGCCTGGCTGGGTCGGGGCTCCCAGAGAGGTGACCAGATCGCAGGGTGCCAGCTACTCTGTGGATTCCTCCAGAAACAGTCGCGGCTGTTCAGTCTTACCCCCAGCGTGCAGGAGAAACCAGGGCACAGGCGTGATGGTGGAGGACAGGACTGTGATCCCAAACGCCCTGCTCTGTCCTCAACTCCGCTTCTAGGAGGAGGCTGGTTCGGTCGTCAGCCAGTCACCCGCAGACATGGGGTCATGGGGCTGAGGATACGCAGCTGATACCTGGGCTGGTAGGCGCTCAGACACCTCCGTGTGCCTCGGTTTCCCTGTGTCTCTGCCCTCGGATGGTGCTCGCCATGTGCTTGGCACCCAGCACGGGTCAGTGCCTCTCCTCCAGGTGGGCTCGCAGGCACACACGGTGTCCAGTGGGCACGGAAGGACAGGCATCAGGCCGCAGGGCGGCGCTCTGCCCGCTCACTGGTCTCTCTTGCCTTGTTCTAACGGCGGGACGCGGCCAGCGGAGCCACAGGCCGGGCTTGCTGACCAGCCCTCCTCACTCTGCTTCAAGCTGATTGGCAACATAAAACCTTCACTTTTCCGTGAATTTGGCTGCATCCACGCCTCAGGATTCGACTTCATTTCATCAGTTTGTTTTTACTTGTTTTTTGAGACAGGGTTACTTTGCAGTGCATGCTGGCCTTGAACTCACAGTGATCCTCTTGCCTCAGCCTCCTGAGTGCTGGGGTTATGGATGTGTGCCATCACACCCAGCAAAGTTGGGGGGTGGTGCTGAGTATTTCTGGATAGAGGAGAAAGAAATTTCAAAGTTATTCCACGTGAAGACAGCCCTCCTGACTGGGATTCCTGGGGTCCCCACGTCCTGGAGCTGCAGCCAGGCTGTTGCCCCTGACAGTAACGCGGACCCCCTCCTGGGGCTCAGGACATTTTCCACTCAGCCTCTCCGGCTCTGGGCTTGCTGAGTGCTCATGGTCGCAGCCACCGGTGCAGCCGTTCAAACGCAGACATAAAATGACCACAGGGCGGAGAGGTCTCGCTACCTTCTTACTGACGAGGAGCCTGGTGAGGTTCACGGACAAAGCAGACAGCCATACATGTGTACGGTGTGAGCAAAACACCAGGGCTTGCTTACATTCTTTTAAAACGTATGACAGTAAAAGACGCATTGTCGTAACCTATCTCAAAATCGTCCCCTCACTTCGGACACACTCATCGGGTCCCGGCCCCGTCCTGCAGCGGCTCTGGAGCCCTCTCTCCTGAGTGTCTTTAGCTGCGCTGTCCCGGCTGCCTCGATGTCCTGAGTGGATCCCAAACACTTCCCTGTCACGGTCATTCTGACTCTGGGGAGGAGCCGGACGTCATCATGCACCAGCTCCGGCGATTAAGGTGGACGAGGACTCAGCCTCGTGTGTTTACGAGCTGCCTTGCTGTTAGGTGGCGCTGGGCAGCAGCGCTCAATGTGTTTTTTATCACCTCATAAAGACCCTCAGGAAGGAGGACACCAGAGCTGCTGCAGAAAGTGCAAGGAAGACGGGATGAGGGTGTTCGAAGTGAGGGTAGGTTCGTGGCAGTTCGTCCTTTACTGTAATCATGTTTTACACATTCCCTGCACACCTCCGTCACACAGCATATGGAGTGGAGGGGTGTCCCAGTGGGGTATTTTCCGGGGCGGTCACTCCATGCACTTTCCTACCAGGTGGTCTGAGATGAGGTGGGGCTGGGGTAGCTGTCTCACCTTGCTTCTGTTTCTAGGCAACCAAGGGTCCTAGAAATCTGGAGCAGCCCCTCAGGTCTGGGGGCAGGGTGCTTGTTTCTTGGGGTGCTGGCGGTTTGGGGTGCCCAGCACAGCCCTTTTCTGTAGTACCTTGACCGGCTCTGTCAGAGTCCCAGAACCCTGGCCCCTGAGCCAGAGCCTGCAGCCGGGCCACCTGGAGATGTCAGCTGCCCTCGTTTGGGCCCATTTTACAGAACGTAAAGTCGAGGAAAAAGAAGCTGCCGAGCTTCCCTGAGTCACAGAGGCTGGTGGCAGAGTGGGGACCCCCCACCAGGCGGCGCGGCTCCTGTGCTCAGCCCCGCTGCTGCTGCAGAGAGCCTGGGCCGAATGCCTGTGCCGGGCTCCATCACCCCTGCTGGTGCGGTCACCCAGACGTGACTGTCCTGGCCCTTCACCCCTTGGGTGCTGCTGGCCCTCGCTGCCTGCCAGCACCCCAGGAGGCCAGTGCAGGGTGCGGTCTCACTCAGGGGACCCCACACTCGGCCTGTGTGGCTCGAGGATTGGGCCAGCCCCTGCCTTCACAGTGCCCTTGTGCACAATGAGCCAGTGGCTGGGGCCAAACAGGGCCCCCCTCTTGGCGTGGGAAGACCCTGGGAACGCGATTGAGCCGCTGCCCCTAATCCAGGGAGGCTACAACAATAACATGCAGATTCCTGGGCCCTACCCAGGCCCACTTCAGGGGACCGCCAAGCTGGGGTGCAGAATCAGGGGTTGAGAATCAGAGCTTTTCCAGCCAGAGGCACAGGTCCAGGGCCCCTCTCTCCTCCAGGAGAGCGCTCTGAAGAGGAGGAGCCTTCTGCCTTCCTCTCCTGCGCCCTGCGGCTCTCAGCCGGGAAGCTGGCCCCCAAAGGGAGCCGCTCAGAGGTCCCAATGCAAAGTCAGAGCTCACCCCACCTTTGGGTGCCTGGCCCAGACCCCTGACCCTTCAGCCAGGGGCTTCGAAGGCCATGCTTGGGTGGCCGCAGGTCAGGACGTGGCTCTATGCCCTGAGCCACATGGTTCCCTGCTATGTTAAGCCCTTTGATTGAATCATTGAACTTCAGTCCCCAAATACAAATCCAGCCTTTTTCTAAGTTAGCAAATTTAAATTTCCTTTCTCACATAAGGGCTCCCTCTGTGAGGGAACTGGAGACCGCACTGGACATTGCTCAGCCCCAGCCATTGGTCCGCTTTGTGCCACACGCTGCTCAGGTGCCCCACGGGTGTGCAGACGCGGGTGACCACCACGTCTCTCGTGGCTCTTTCTTCTCACTGGACAAAGAGCCACGCTTCCCACAGCCCAACGAAATGGGAAGATGTGCGTGTGACATCCCAGGGCCTGCGGTCACGGTGTCGCTCTGTGAAATAAACCTCCGAATCCGACATCGCCATGGAAACCAGTTGCCCCCTGGCTCATCACCACCCCTGGCTTCTCTGTTTCGTAGGTGGTTTTCAGCAAGTACTGCAACTCCAGCGACATCATGGACCTGTTCTGCATTGCCATGGGGCTGCCACGGTGAGTGTCACCCGCTGGGCTCCAAGGAGCACCCGGTATGGCGGGTGTAGGGTGAGGGCAAGGCGTGGGGGGCCTGGGCTTTCCAGTGGGACTGGGCCGCTGGGGCGCATTCGCAGAGCTGGGGTTCCCTTCGCTAAGGCACTGGCTTTGGAGAAAGGAAGACGGCTGTGTCTGGATTCAGGCCCCTTTGCTTCCCGTGGGCTTGTTACCAGCCCACACGTGGCCCGAGACTCAGACACGAGTCCTAGCGCCAGGCACCTGTCTCGCAGAGGGGTTTGCTTGCTCAGCCGGGTTTGTATAAGCCTGGAAATTTTCCAGTATGGGTTGAGCATCCCTACTCCAAAAAGCTGAAACCCAGAAATCTCCCAAATCCCGGCATTGTGAACGCTGTTCTGACGCCCGTGGGAAATGCCACGCCCAGGCTGGTGGCGCAGGGCACAGTCAAACGTAGGAGCGCTGCAAATACTGTGTGAACACTACGAAAACACGGGTTTCCTCTTTGGTCTCGGGCCCCTCTGGGGCTTCTCATTACACGTATGCGAGTGTCCCCACCCGTGAGGAAGCCCAGCTCTGAGGCACTCTGGTCTGGAGTATGGCGCTCTAAAGTGAGGCTCCGGGTCGAAGGTGAGGGCCGGGGAGGGGCGGTAGAAGATTTCACCCCCCCGCAGGTAGGAAAAGGGGACTCAGATAAAGCCGTGCACCCGCAATCACGCAAATGGCAGCTCACGGCAGCAAAACTGTCCCGCAGTTAGGCATCCTGTGCAACACAGGGCCGCAAACTACGTGCAGATCCCTGCTGAGAGCAACTCCGGGGTTCAGCTTCACCTCCACTGCACAGAATTTAAAACTTCACGGTGCAGATGAGAAAACCTGAGTAACTTGGTCAAGATGCCAGCTCGAGAGGCCCCTGTGGCGCCATCTGGGGTGCTGTCTGTGCAGGCTTAGAGGCTCCAGAGGACCTGTGGAGGAAAGGCAAGCAGCCCACGGGCAAGCATGCACTCAGGGGCTCGCTGACGTGAGCGTGTCTTTCAGGAACACGACCATCTCCCTCCTGACCTCGGACGACGCCATGGTCTCCATCGACCCCACCATGCCCGCGAATTCAGAACGGTAAGAGGCCAGGCTTCTTGGGCAGTGTCCGATGCCTCTGTAACACGTAGCGCGTGACTGCAGGGAGGTCTGCGTGGCAAGTGGAGGTGGTGGCACACACCTGTCATCGCAGCACTCAGGAGGCTGAGACAGGAAGGTTGCCCCAAATTCAAAGCCAGCCTGGCCTACATAGTGAGTTCAAGGCCTGCCTGAACTGTCTCAAAATAAACAAATAAAACCAGAGATAACGGGAGAGTGAGAGAGTCAAAAGGAGGCAAGATTCCTTCGTTCCTTTGCATGAATTCATATTCTCTCTTCAATAGAAGCCCTGTAAGAAGGCAGTGTGCAGATGGGGAAACTGAGTCACCCAGGCTGGGGCAGAAGCAGTAGAGCCAGGCCCCAGGACCTGGCGATGACCTCAGGAGGGCTGCAGGAGCTGCCCCAGCCAGAGCACTTGGGACCACCTAGCATCTCCGTCCACAGGGGGCCCGACCGGGACATCCTGGGCAGAGTGGGAAGGGACAGGGACACAGACAGAGCCGGAACAGGGCAGTAGGGGAAGCTGGGAGGGGACCTCACCTAAGTGTGCGGAGCAGGGGAGGCCGCTGTAGCTGCTCGAGGGAGGACACAGGGCTGCGGCTCGCACGTCACCACCGGTGGCCTGGAAAGTGTCCGAGGACCTGCGGGCCGCACCACAGTGAGCGCAGAGCAGAGCTGGGTGCCCTGGGCCCTCTGCTCCTCCCCTTCAGCCCCCAAGGGTCCCTGTGGAGCTGCTCCTTAGGGTGTCCTGCCCGGGGGACCCACACCAGCCCACATGTGGCTTCTCGGGGTGGGTCCGGGCCCCCCCAGCCCAGGCATGGGCGCCTTCATCCTCCTGCCCTTGGAAGTCTGCGATCGTGGTCAGGAGGGTCCCGTGGGCGCGGTCAGCGCGGGCCTGGTCAGCGAGGCCCCAGTGGCCGTGGCGGCCCTTCCCTGTCCCAAGGCCTTGGCCCGCCTGCTCCCGAGCAGGCCCCGCTCAGCCTGGTTCTCAGCTCCTGGACTCCCAAAGCCCCACGGCTAGCTGGCTCCCAAAGACTCCAGTGAGAGCCACGTTCCCTGTGTGACGGTGACTGACCCGGCTTAGCCAGTCACTGCCGTGGGTCCACGCTGCATGTTGTCCTCTCTTCTTATTTCAGCAGTAATGGAGACTGAACACAGGCACTTCACGCTGAGCTGCATCCCCGGCCCTGTTTTATTTTGAGACAAGATTTTGATAAATTCCTCAGGCTGGGCTTGAACTTTCGATCCTCCTGCCTCAGCCTCCTGGATTGCTGTGATTATAGGTGTAAGCCGCCATGCCTGGCTTGTCTTTGTCTTTTGACAACTGAGCGAGCCCCCGAAAATCTCTGCTATCCCAGAGTGAGCACGCACAGCGGCTTCAGCAGCAGGCACTGGCTGTCCTGCCTTTGTGTGGGCCGCCGTTGAGAGTAGGGGCTGCCTGGTGCGTTCTGAGGCCTCCCCTGGTTACAGAGCCGCCTTCTCTGTCCTCTGCACCTAGCAGAGATGGAGGGACAGAGACAGAGACCTGGTTCTTTGTCACCTGTGAGGACATGAACGCCACCCTGGGGCCCCCCATGACCTCATCCAAACCCCTGCAGCTTCCCGAGCCCTGCCTCCTGGCCCCAGGGTATGGCATGGTGACCACTTGACAGTCTTGGGGAAGATGCGGCTCGTCCCCGTGCTGAGCTGCCATGGCAGCTGCACCCCACTGTTCCCAGTGAAGAATGCAGCTCAGCTGGGCATGGTGGCGCACGCCTGTCATCCCAGCACTCAGGAGGCTGAGGCAGGAGGATCTCTGTAAGTTCGAGACCAGCCTGGGCTACATAGTGAGTTCCAGGTCAGTCTCACTACATAGTGAAATCCTGTCTCAGAAACAAAACAGCTCCCACCACCCTCCCAGGTTACTTTTCAGTCCCTCCTGGCTTTGCCAGCCCTGTCCTTTGCTCAGTTCCCATGGACTTCAGGGTCCTGTGCCAGCCCGGGGCCCGGGTCTGTGCAGGGCACCGCATGTGCATGGGTACCGCCACGTCACCTGCCCCTCTGGGTCTCGTGACTGCTGCGCTGAAGTCACCGAGGCATTGGACCTCTTGCTGGGCCCCGGCTGCATCCTACCCTGTCTGTCTGAGGTCGCAGCCCGCAGGAGAGAGGGCGCTGCCTGCATGGGTGGGTGCTGGAGTTAGGGTTTGCGCGATCAGGTCAGATCTGCAGGGCTGGACCAGGGGGGCAGGACGCTCATGACAAAATCTGTCACTGCACAAATGCAAGCATATAAAGGAAGTTCGCTGTCCAGATGATGCAATTAGAACATTCGGAACTCGTTAGAGGAAGCTTAGAACAGCCAAAGGAAGTAAGTTTTTAAAAAGGAAGAAGAAAGCCTAGCATAGTGATACCCACCTGTAATCTCAGCACTCGGGAAACTGAGGCAGGAGGATCTCTAGGAGTTCAAGGCTGGCCTGGGAGACCGCAAGGCTCTGTCTCCAAAGAAGAATCAAAAATGCAAGGAGTGGGAATGTAGCCCAGTGGTAGAGCACACGCGTAGCCGGCACGGCCTCTGGCTCTGTCCCAGCCACAGAAGGCACTCTAACTTGCCATCCTCCTGCCTCAGCCTCCCCAAGCGCTCAGACCCTAGGCGTGCACCCCCGGGCCCCAGGAGAAGTTGCTTCACCTTGTTTTCTGCTTGAGTTGCTTTTGATGAAAACTCTAAGTTCAGTTCAGTACCTGGTAGAATAAGATAGGAGTTTTAGCTTTTCCTAGTATAAAAATACTTTTCAATGTAAAAAGCCTGTGTCCCTGGCTGTCGGGACGGCCTCTCACCACGGCGCTGTCTCCTCTCTTGCAGCACGCCGTACAAAGTGAGGCCCGTGGCTGTCAAGCACCTGTCGGGTAAGGCCCTCCCTGTACCCTTGGCGGTGTGAGAGGCCGGCCGGGGACGGTGCTGTTCGCAAAGCGTCCGGATCCGCCGGCTGATGTGGTGGGGCACCCGAGCCTCGCCCGCCTGGGTCCCCACTGCGCCCGGGACTTAGCCTTGAGGGGTTCTCGGGCCCAGCCCCAGCCCTAGCCATGTCCTTGGTAGAGTCCCACTCCTTTCTGAGCTTTGAAATCGGGGTGGCTGTGCTGACCTCGAAGTGAGCATTTTTGTGAGCTTTGGAAAATGCGTGCTGCCTCGAGCCAAGGCACCACGTGGTGAGCCTGCCAGCCACGTCCACCTGAAAGAGTATTCCGTAGTGAGAGGCCACCAGAGTGTGTTTTCCATGGCCGCATGGCTGGGCTTTGAGCCACTGCCAGTAGGGGCTTTTATGAAAAAAACGGGGTAGATACTTAAGAGTGGACAGCGGAGTCCTGTGGTTACGCATATGCTTGACATTTTTGTTTTGTTTTGTTTGTTTTCTGAGACAGGGTCTCCCTCTGTAGTTCAGGCTGGCCTTGACCCTGCAGCGATCCTCCTGCCTCAGCCTCCTGCGTGCCTATACGCTTAAATACAGCCAGTGGTTCCAGAGTGGCCCCAGCAGTGCCTGCGTTGGGTCTCCCACTCTCTCCCACGGGTGGCCTCAGCCTTTCTGCGTCCTCCATCCCGAGGGGTGTGTGGTGTCTGGAGGCCGGCTTTCGTTTGTGTTGCCGTAGCGACTCCTGGCCGCGATTACTTCCAGCCTTCCCAGGCGCACGTCAGTCTGCTGTGTGCAGCATCCATTCAGATCCTCTGGGACACACTGCCCGCTTTCCTCCTGAGCTGTGCATGCGCCCAGGAGCCACACCCTTTGTCGGGTCCAGGTTGTAAACATTTCCCTGCTCTGCACTTTTCCCTTTCATTTCTGATGAGCGGCTTGTGATGACCAGAGGTTGGCATTTTGACCCAGCCTGGTTTGTCCATTTCCTTCTTTTATCATGTGTCTTTGCTTCACTCTCGAAATCAGAGTGTGTCCCATAGCTGCGAAGCCTTCTGTGTGTTTCTCTCCAGTTTTGCAGTTGTAGCTGGTATGGTTGGCTTATTTATTTACACACATTTATTTCACGGTGCCGGGGCCACACCCAGGCCTCCCGCTCCGAGCTACACTCCAGCCTGTGTGATCAATTTCCCATTAATTTCGTGTATGACGTGAGACAAAACTAGGTTTCCTTCCCTTCATTAAATTTAATTTAAATTCTTGGAGGATTCAGGGTTACCGACTAGAATTTAAAACACCCATAGAGAAACATGGCGTGTGCAGCAGCGGACCTCAACTCCCCGCCTACGCTGTGCGCACAGCTGGCACACGTGAGTCCTGGCCGACAGTCTGGTCCCTACGCACACGCCTGTCCCGAGAGAGAAGACGGACAGAAAGTCCTGAGGACAGGTAGTATGCACCTCTTGTTCTTTCATCTCGCTCAAAGATGTCCCTGCTCTTATTTTCAAATACATTTTTTTGGCCCATAGGGCTGGGGATGTAGCTCAGTGGCACCGCGCCTCCCTGGCAAGCGTGAGGTCCTGAGTTCAATTCCAGGTATGAAAAAAAAAAAAATCAAATGCATTTTTGGTCCAGTCTGTCCATTGCTACCAAAAACAAAAAGTCTGCTAGAATTTGGGTAAAAATCCCTTTGAATACTTAGAACAACGCAGGAGAGCTCTCGTCTGAACAATGCTGTCTTCTTCCTCCTCGTGAGTAGGGTGTAACTCCGTGTCGGGGCTTCCTTTAGTGTCCCTGGAGAACGTGTTTTAGTTGTCAGTGTAAAGTTCTTGAATGTGTATTGATAAATTCACCAGTCTATTTCACTTTTTCATGATAATAATGAGTTTTTTAAATTCAAAAGTTGAGACGATGGCTTAGTGAGGGATGAGTTGCTTGGCGTGCATGAGGACCTAGGTTGGACCCCAGCACCACAGACACACACACACACACACACACACACACACACACACTCACACACACACTCACACACACAGGCACACACTTCCAATTTCAGTTTCCAGTGCCTGTTCGCTTATGGAAATAGCTTTTGTGCACTGACCGTTCTGGACTCCGTGGAAGGTCTGCTGCTTTTCCACAGATTTCCTGCGATTCTGTGGCCAGGTTCCCCGCCTCCACTAATGGAGCTGCTGCTTCTCCTGCGTGGGTCTGGATGCCTTTGGCACCTTTTAGCTCTTTTCCTTGCCCCGCTGTGCTGGCAAGGCCTCCAGCCTGAGAGAGCTCAGCTCAAAGGCAGGAACCTGAGAGGAGATCTGTGACCGTGATCACACCAGGGTGGCCATAGCCGTAGCTTTTTTGTAGTGGCCCTTTGTCGAGTTGTGAGATTTTTTTTTCTATTTCCAGTTTGTTGAGAGCCTTAATTTTAAATAGGTGCTGAATTCTGTCAAATGCTTTTATGCCCTCCTCCATGATTCTATCTTTTCTCCTCCTTTCTGTTAATAGAGAAGTACACTAGCTGAGTTTAAAACACTAACTTTGCATCACTAGTGTAAACTCTGTGTGACCGAGGCATATCCTGTTTTTCGGTTCAGATTCAGTTTACAAGCGTTTTTACGTCAGCATCTCAAGAGCTGCTGGACCTCAGTTTTCCTAAACTGCATTCATCTGGTTTTGCTGTTAAGGTGCCAGCCTCACCAAGCCGGTGGGAAGCGGTTCCTCCTCTTCCCTTTCCTAGGAGTGGGCACAGGGCCGGCGTCATTTCTGTGTCGGGTGTTTCACAGAATTTGCCAGCACACCTGTCTGCTCTGGCAGGTTTTTGTGGGAAAGGTTTTAATCACAAGATTAATTGTTTGAATAGAAAAGATCGCTCTGGTTTTCTGTCCCTTGGTGGCTCCATCCCGCCAGCCCTGTCCCCCTGGAGTCCCAGGCGCCTCCGTCCACACACAGCTGACCACATGTGAGTCCTTCTGGCCCACAGCCTGTCCTGAGACCCACCGCTCTGGTGGTCGTGCTCCTGAGGACTTGCACACGACAGAATTCAGCATCAACTCATAACTGAGCCTCCCCACAAGGTAGAAATAGAAAGGGCCTCAGCCTCGGCCGTTTTGTCCTGGCTTCTCCCAGAACTTTGTTAGGGGATTGGGTTGAAATGCCCTAGTCCTTCTCAGCGGGTCCAGCCCTGGGGCGCTTAGCCATGGCATCTGTTCTGAGAGGCATCTTTAGGTGGCTTCAAAACTAATCTGCCTAAGCTTCATACATTTTACTGATTTATTTTTTCAAAGAGCCAGCTGTGAGTTTCATTGGGTTTTTATTCCCTTCTTTTCCTCCTCTCCTTTTTTATTTTTGCTTTTTCTGTTTTTTGTTTGTTTTGTTTTGTTTTTGAGACAGAGTTTCTCTATTCATTTCAGGCTGGCCTTGAACTCTCTGTGTAGCCCAGGCTGACCTCCACCTTGCAGGGATCCTCCTGCCTCAGCCTTCCAAAGGCTAGATTACAGGCATGCACCACCACACCTGGCATCCTCCCCTCCCCACCTTCGGTACTAGAATTTAAACACCAGACCTTCATACTGAACTATACCCTTGGCCCTTTAATTTTTTTTATTTTGAGACAGGTTCTCACCAATTTACCAAATTGCCTAGGCTGAGCTTGAATTTGGGATCCTCCTGCCTCAGCTTCCCAGAGTGCTGGAATTACACGCCTGCACCACCATGCCTGGCTTCATTGGTTTCACTGTTGTTTGTTTCCTACTTCATTTGATTTCTTTTCTTTTTTATTTATTTCCTTCCACTCTGTCCAGGTTTCTTTTCCCCCTAGTTTCTAAAGGTAGAAGCTTTGATTACCGATTTTAGAATTTTTTTTTCTTTCTTTCTTTCTTTTTTTTTTTTTTTTGCATAATACAGTAAAGCAATTCAGAGCTGAAGGTTTCCCTGTGAACATAATCTTACCAGTGTTCTATTGTTTTCATTTTATTCCAGTCACACTACTTTCTAATTTTTCTTTGGTTGGTTCCTCCACCAACCCACTTGTTGCTTAGAGTGTGTGATCTGGTTTGCAAGTACTTAGGTGTCCCCTTTCCCTTCTGTAGCTGACTCCTAAGCGAATTCCGCTGTGGTCAAATAGAAGAGCCTAGCAGAGCTGGGACAGCAGAGGTCTGCAGCAGGAGCGGGGCTGCTCCCTGGCTGGGGAAGGGTGGGGTGCCTGGGGTCTACCCAGCCCCAGGCACCATCGGAGGTGGGGCAGGCTGAGCTGGGGGCCGAGGGGACAAACCCAGCCTCCTGCCAGACACTGCACTGTGGGCACGGGTCTGGGGGGGCCCGGTGTCAGCTGGAGAGAGGTGGCCAGGACTGAGACACCAGATCAGGGCCCGGAAGAGGACTCGGGGACTCCCCTGCACCAGACAGGACAGCACAGAATAGGCAATCACGTAGGTTTGAGGAAGGGTGGTGGCTGTGTTCAGATATTCACAAGAGAACAGATTTTGTGTAACTTTGGGGCTACCCTAGGGCCAGCAGGACCACTTCGTGCGCATGATGGGGAAGAACTTGGGCTTTGGTGGAGATAGAATGCCTGCCTGAGCTCAGCTTGGCAACCCTCCTGACTCAGCCTCCCAGAGTGCTGGGTTTCCAGCTGTAAGCTGACTCTGAAGGGCTGAGTACCTCCCCAAGAGTTCCTGCAAAGGGCTGGTGGCCTCATGTGGGGGTCACCTGTAGATACCCAGTCCGGTGCCTGCTGTAGCACCCCCAAGCTCAGATCGTGGGAGCCCCAAAGCGTGAGATATAAGGGGCTGCAGAGCGCCAGGGCCCGTGAGAGCACTCGGTGGCTCTGGAGTGACCAGACAGTCGGGTGTCAGTCAGGTGGTGCCAGGGCGTGAAACACAGGCAGTGCCCTGCATGCGAGGGTGGCTCCGGCTTGGAGAACACAGCAGGGCCCACAGCCTCACCCAGCCGCACCCGCCGAGCAGGGGAAACAGAGCTGTGGGTGTCACACCCGGCAGGACAGGA